TTTCTTCATTCGTGAAATGAGGTTGATGGCTTCTACCTCAAAGGGTAGTTGTAAGGACTTAATGAGATAATTCTCTTAGTATGGTGCCAGATACATTCAAATGCACGGTGCTATTAATTAAAACATAAAGGTTTCCTATGATGGCCAATTTTTATCTTTATGGTTTCTAAGGAAACTCAATAAATTGATAAATACTATTGTTTTCGCATTGAATTCTCATGTTAAGAAATGAGAACTTTTGTGTTCAGTGTGAGTTAAAACAAAGCCTAGACTCTTGTTTCCTGAGATTACTTCAGTGACATTTATGTGGTGGGGGCTTCGATAATGTCGAAGTATCTATAAATAGGTACCTGTCATAACAAGGTTTGTAGAGGATGTTAAATTGTATTTGTCCATTGAGTGTTTATAGTTAGCCTTATGAAAAAACAGAAGGTTATATACCACAGAGGTTTGGGTGAGAGTTAGAAGATGCTCAAGCTGTTTCACATTCAAATTGAAAAGCCATCTGACTATAACCGCTATTTGATCATTTGATGTAAATTGCTGACAGATGAACTCCAGTGGAGACGTGAATAGAAGCACCGTCACAGTCCATATACCCATCTATGATCATCTGTCCATGTATCTGTAAGAAAAGGGAGGAAGGGCCTTTGCATTTGTTTGTCCCTCAACCTGAAATGTTCTTTCATATCCACGTGGCTCACTCCCTTACTGTATTCAGGTCTCAGTTAGAATGTCACCTCATTAGAGAATTTTTCCTACTCTATCTAAAACACTCTTTTTCTTACCCCACCTTATTTTTATCAGTTCTTATGAATTTCTTGCAGAACAGTCACTTAACAGTTTGTTTATTGTCTATCTTCCCAATAGAATAGTTTTGTAAAGGCAGGTATTTTAACCGTAGCACCTAATAGACACCCAGTACCTATCTGGAGTGGCTGAATTAATGAGGAGACTTAGGCGCTGGTTCTGGCCGCCTGGGGGACAGTGGGCCAGTTCCTCACCTGTCTGTGTATCCGTGGTTGTGAGATGCAAATAGGGTAGCTTATGCAGAAGCACCTTGTGAACAGTGAGGAAATGGAAGGTGTTATTCTTCACAAGAGTAACTGCTGGTTCGTGTTTTTTGGATTAGTTCTCTATTACCAATGTTGTTATGGGCCAGTTCCTCACCTGTCTGTGTATCTGTGGTTGTGAGATGCAAATAGGATAGCGTATGCAGAAGCACCTCGTGAGCAGTGACACACTGAGGAAATGGAAGGTGTCATTCTTCACAAGAGTAACTGCTGGTTCATGTTTTTTGGATTAGTTCTCTATTACCAATGTTGTTCTTGTACGGTTGGGCTTTGTGCTGAATTAGGACGAGGAGAGAAGTCCAGTTGACTTTTGGTTAAATGGCACCTTTGGTGAAGCCAATATTTGGCTCTTCTGTATGTAGTCCTGTTTTTCACTGAGAGCCCCATACAGTTGACCCGAAGATTCAGAGAGAGTTCTAAGTAAGGGACAAAAAAAGGACAGGGCCAGAACAATGGTCTACTGCATTCTAAAGCCATTCACAACTGACTCTGAAGTGGGGCTGAGAATGAGAAAGGAGTCTCTGAGTGTGCTCTCTCTCATCCCGACACTGCTGTATATGACATAGATAAAACAGACTTACCAGAATGCGGGCGTGGAGATTAGATGAGTGTGAGTAGTTCGAAGAAGCACCCTCTCCACTTTATGATGTGTCACAAAACGACACATTCCATAGTGCTTCTTTTGCTCTTAGTTCTTGCTTTTGATCAGTTGAAATGTTCTCTGTCGGCATCAAAATTCAGCTTCTTTTCCGCCCCGCCTTCCTCTTTTTAACAAAAAGGTTTCCAGAAAGCAGATCCTGGTAGGATGGGGATTTCTCTCTTCTACTCATTTTCATTGATCTATTTTCCATCTTTCTTGCCCTTTTCCTATTTTAATTAAATTCCATGTTGCTTCTTTTTTCTAGCCCTTTCTCCTCTTGCCATTGTCGCCACTCCTCAGCCCGCGGCTGCTGCCTTTTCCCTTCCCCTCCCCAGTGAGCCCTCATCCTCGCATCTTCGTCTTTCCTCTCTGTCTATACACTTTCAGAGCTGGAGTGGACCTTTGTTTCTGGATGCCCTTTCTTCACGGCCCTTCTTCTCTTGTTTCTATGGCTTCATGGTTTCCATGCTGTGACTGAGCTGGCTTTTGCCTGCTTTTGCTGATTTCAGAAGGAAAAGAGTGAGGAGAGCAACAGGCCCTGAGGTGCTCTGTAGTTTGACGAAGGTGATGGGGGTCTAGGAAAAGAAGAGACAAGGAATGGAGGGATATGGATGTTGTGGGGATGGGCTTTGGGGCACTTGGGGAGAGCTGATTGACTTCTGAATTTGACTTGTTTCCATAAAGGTCCTTCCTAGTCCATGGGGGAGGAATAGGATCTCAGTGGGAGGTCAGAGATGGCAGCTCTTTTGACTAGTAGCTTGAGCAGTGGGAAGAGTATAGGATGGAGGGTGAAGACCTGGGTTCTGGCTCTGGGTCTGCTGCGTGATGGAACCCAAACAGGATACCTTCAGTTTCTGCTCTGTAAGGTGAGGATTTTGTAAGGGTTTTGATCCAGATGAGCTTTAAGCCTTCTTTCAGCTCTATATTTTATAAATTTCTGAATTTATGCCTCTCTCAGCGAGGATTCTTTTATTTTGCATGGAGCGTTGCGTGGCAGGATCTTCAGTGCTCTTATTTAAGAACGGCCTGCTGTGTGTATGACTGTATGTGTTGGAGTTAGAGGGTAGAAGGGATGTTCAGGCATAGATACTGGTCAGATGAAAGGGGTAAAGGAGAATACTCTTCCCACTTCTGGAAGCTACTAGTTGGAAGAGCTGCAACCTCTGACCCCCCACATACACATACAGTGAGCCCCTCCTCCTCCTCCAGAGACTCCCTTCTTTTTACTCTCCTAAGAGAGATGTCCCATGGAATACAGGAACTATGTGGTTTACCCTGAAATAAGAATACAGATAGTTGTGTCACTGTTCTTTACTCAGAAGAGATCAATTCACAGAGACTTAGGGTTCTTTGTTTTTCTGATAGGTTTGGTTTGGCATGTTCGATGCTGTCAGCTGATCCACACTGGTCTTCAGACAATACTTGGTTTCACATTAATTCGTAGACTTTAAGTGTTAAGTAATAACCATATACCACCATCTGCATGAGTTCAACCTGAATCTGAAATTGATGAATTGTAGTCTTTACTGTGTTGCAAATGTAAAACTTATTTGAGATATGAAATATAGAATGAGTTAATAGAACTTTATCTTCCAATACAGACTAGCAGAGAGTGTCCTAGAGTCACAGGGCCTTAGAGATCTTAAGCAGATGGTGTTGAAACTTTTTTTTTTGAAGAAATCTTTTTTTCCAGTGTTATGGAGCTCTTTTATGTATAAGCTTGATTAAAACTTTATTTAAATATATTATTCACATTTAAATTTATTACATTAATTAATTAATTTATTAAGTCAATGAGGACAATAACTTAGCCTGGAAGTTCAGGTCTTCTCCAGTGTATTAAAATTTGGTAAATAATACATTTAAGTGAATGCAGCATTTTTAGGTTTAGAAATAATTGGAAACATATTTCCTCAAATGAAATTTAAATGGAATGTTTGAACTCCCAACATTTTTCTATTAGAACCTAGGGTTTCCCTGATCTCAGTTTGAAACTACTAATGCAGAGAATTAAAATAAACTAAGCATCAATTCAAGGAGCTAGGAAATAAACCAAAGCAAAAGAATAATGAGAAAGTAATTTAAAAAACCCCACAAAATTCCACTTATCTAGACCCACCCATTTTTTTTTTTTAATATGGAAGCTATTCTAGACTAGATATTTAGCCTCATTCTCTCTTAGAACAAACAAAAAAGCAAAACAAAAAAAACAAAACCACCATTTCCTGGTAGTGCTTATTCCTCCTAAGCTGAAGTAATCCTTGTCCTCTTTGGACATCTCTGATCCTTAGAAGGCTCTCACTGTAGAACCGAACTCTGTCCTGTCCTTCCCCTCATTGTTTTATGCTTTCCCCTGGGGGCCCGCAGAACATGTCTAATCCCTTGTCTGCATGACAGACCCTCAGATATTTGCAGTCGTGACCATTTACTCATGAGTTTTTTCTCCTTTGGCAAAACAGTCCCAGTTCCTTCAATTGTTCCTCATATGACAACATGGTCTTTTAGTCCCTACAGCATCCTTGTCATTTTCCTCTAAATGTATCATCGGTTTAGTCTACATTTACATTAAAGTATTCGATGGCCCAGGTATGTCTGACAGATATAGAGAAGAACTACCCATACTCATTCTTTTTATTTTTTAAAACATTTTATTTTATTTTATTATTAGTTTTATGTATACCGTATTTTGGTTAGACATTTATAGTTTATGAAATGATCCCCCCGATAACTCTATCATCCCTCTGGCTCTACACGTAACCATTACATTACTGCTGACTACATTCTTTATACCATACTCAATGGAATTATTAGATTTTCATCAGCATAGCATTGGGCATGTTAGCGTTTTAGTCTCAGTGATGACTCATGCTTAGTTGATTTTTGACTAAAATCTCAACTGGTGTCCTGCTATTAGACTGCATATTGCTTCATTCTTTATTTTTGCATTAGCTTATTTTGGAACAAAGTGCAGGACCTTTATTCCTCAAGAAATAGTGGGACAATGCAAGAGTAGAGATTATAATTTAAGTATTCTTATTCTCAACCCAGTGTATTTCCTACTATGATATACTTAAAATGTCAGATATTTGTTTTTAATTTCTAAGAGTTCTATGTTTTCAGACTCTTTGAGTTAGTTAGTGATTTTAAAAGGAAGCAAGATAAGGAGCTTTTTAGAGTCTGCTTCTGGTCTTGTGAGGAATCTGGGGTCATTTACTGACCTCTGTCATGAATTGTTTTTTACTTAATTCAGCTGTGTTACAGAAACAAAGCCTATTTCAATTCTATAGTGGTGAATCATCCCACCACGGGTGAAAGTCATCGAGAATTTTTGTGTTTGTTTAACTGAGTTTAATGCAGAGTTTTGAATAATGGGTATGTTTTTAATATATATTACTATATACATTTTATTTATAGTAATCATTTTTTATTAGTAATCTTGTTAATTGTGTGATTTGGATCTTTTATATCCTTGTCAGTTTTTGTCTGTTCTGTCACCTATTGAGAGAGACATGCTGAAGTTTCCCATTGTGATTATGGATTTCTCTATTTCTCCCTTTGGAATTGTTAATACTCCTTTGTATCTTTTGAAGCTATGTTATTAGGTACATACAGATGTAATATTATATTTTGTTCAACTGACACTTTTTATAAAGAAAAATTCCTTTCTCTAGTAATGTCTTGCTTTAGAAAGTACTTTGTCTAATATTATTTTGACTATACTAGCTTTCTTTTCGTTAGTGTAGCATAGTATATTTTTCTCTTAAACTTTCTGTGTTATTTTTTAAGCGTTTCTCTTGTAAGCAGCATATAAATATTGTTACAGTTTTTGAATTTAAAAAATTTATAGTCCTGGTGTTGTATTTGGATCATTTAATTCATTTGCATATAATATAATTGCTGATATAGTTGGATTTATATCATACAACTCTTTGTTTGGATACACGTTTTATGTTTTTTTATTTCTCTTGTCTTGTGTTTTTTATTATTTTCTATTCAATTTTTTCCTCTATAACTTGTTAGTTATACATTCTTTTTACTATTCTATTAGTGGTTACCCTCAACTTAAACATGTATATTTGATATATTGTAAATAAGTTATTTTAATACTTTCCCCAAACTGTTGTATACTTTAATTCCATCTCCCTTTTAGATTATTGTTGCCAGACATTGTAGTTCTACAAATATTTTAAAATCTATGACATTATAGTTATAATTTTGTACATTAGATATTAATTACATTTACTCACATATTTACCCATTTTACTGTTCCTCATTGCCTCTTGAATTTCCATGTTTCTGTTTGAGATCATTTTACTTGTGCTTCAATAAATCCATTTAGTATTTTAGTGCCGGCTTGCTGGCCATGAATTCTCTCAGTATTTTTCTTAAACATTTAAATTCCAACTTTATTATTAAGAATATTTTTATTAGGTATGGAATTTTAGGTCATCAGTTATATTCTTTTATTACTTTAAAGATATCATTCCATTGTCTTCTGGCTTCTATAACTTTTCTGAGTGGTTCTCCCCTTTCTGGAGTTTTATTATATTTTAGCCTCATTTCTGTAATTCTTTTTAAGGATATGACTTTTTAATTTTTCTGTCTTTATTTTCTAG